AAAGGCCGAAGCACTAGCATCTCATGGGGTACTCAGACTTCTCCCAGGCCCGGTCCTTCATGCGGGTACCTCACACTTAGTTCCAACCATCTGCTTTGCTGTTGTATCCTTCCAATAGCTTTGCTTTCCATGCTCCTAGAAAATCAAAAATCGACACTACAAAAATAATACAATTAAAAAAAATAATAAAAGAAAGCAGGAAAGCTGGGTTGCCTCCCAACAAGCGCTTGATTTAACGTCGCGGCACAACGTGAATAATTTTTTGCCTCCACCTCGAGCTTATGAATTGAACCCTTAGTTTTGATTCAAGCTTATGATTATGGTCATGGGGCAGTGGAACGAATCTAACTGGCCCAAGGAAATAATGTAGTATTCTACAGTCCTTGGCCTTTATATGAGGTATGTAATCCTGACTTTCTGGCAAGAAGAATTCCAGAATATATGCACCTTGTTCCTCATTTCTTGACTCTTCAATTGGTTCGGATGACTCTATTTCCATATCATCATCCAAACATAATGTGGAAAAATGCTTGGAGTGTGGACCAATGCGCTCAAACACATGAACTTCAGGACTTTCAACATCCTCAACATCAGTGATACTAGAGTCAACAAAATTTATATCCTCAAAGTCCTTGGCTGGCTCTAGTCTCACTTCTTCAACATTGACATCCTCAAATTGTAGTTGGCTTGGTTGTTGATGTTCTACTCTGACCTCATGAATTAACACCTCAAATTCATGCTCTTCTTGGCTACTATCTTTAATATTGGCTTGTTGAGCATTAAAAGCTCCAACCACTTGACTCAATTGAGCCTCCAACTTGCGAATAGTTGCCTCTTGCCTTTCTATCTGCTATTGTTTTTCATTATTTTGTTTCAGAAAGCACTTCAACATATCCTTGATCTCCTTCAGGTCTGCATCCCCAGGTTCTTTGGTCTTGTTAACTTCACAAGAAAAGGTAGAACTATCATAGTAAGGGATTGGGGAAAGATAAGAAATATAAGCACAACCATAAAAGTGACCATTTTTACCACCACACACATCACACACTTTCCACAAATAAGATTGAGTTATTGCATATAACTCGCTCTCAGGAACATTTTAAAAATTTTGCCACGGGTGGTTTCCTCCACAATATGTATGGAGATCAATAGTAGAATTATCTACACCTATATTCCCATAATTCCAAGATGTCATGTTTCTCAAATCAACAACTGTAAAAAAAAAACAAAACAAAATAAAAGTGCAAACTTAAACCCTAGCAATATATACAACTACAACTACACTGTTAGTTCCCCGGCAACGGCGCCAAAATTTGATCACGTCCAACTCTAGTCCTAAAAAGGATAAGCGGTCACTGCAAATATAATCCGATCTAAAAGTCGAAGTCGAATCCCACAGAGAACTAAGGCTTAGCTATCTCTATTTAATATCACTAAGAAGACAAGTTTGAACAATTTTCTAAATTATAAAGATTGAGATTTATATTTCTAACTAATTAACTAGCAAATACTACAAAGCGGTAAAATTGTCAACTAATGAGACAAAGGGTTGGAGACTAAATTAAAGAGGTCTAAAGTTATGATTTTCCCAATTGTCGAAATCCTTCTAGCTATGTTTCCTACAATTTCGCCAATGTATTCTCTACCGATTGTGAGTACTTTGGTTGTTGTAATTATCTCTCGAGCAACTACCACAATTTACTAGATGTATTCTCTCGAACTACACTAGCTGACATTAATTCACTGCTCACTACGATCGCACCAAGGTTTCGTTATCTCTAATCCCGCCTTTAAACCCTCCGTATTGATCTCTCACATACGTTAGGAGTGATGTTGTTCAACAACTACCTAAATATGTATCCTTTCTCAAGCAACACATAATAAATAGGCACAGTCCATCGATGGCCATTCAATCAACAACAATAAACACGTAGTTGAACAAGTAGAGAAATCCAAAGGCTCAATTATATAAAAACATAACAAGAATTTATCCTATAAAAGGTTCCATCAAAACCCTAGATAACAAATTAGCTATTCATAATAGTATGTAAAACTAAAATACTAAAAATCATAACCAACAATGAAAAATAGGAAGAGGAAGGAAAAACTCTTAGAAGAATTCTCCGCCTATCTCCCAGTGTGTTCTTAACTCCTTAGGTCGAATCCCCGGTCTCCTTAGCCTCCTTAGGTCCAAATTATGTTGAATCTGTGTTAAAAATATGTTTCTTTCTTTAAAATACCGTTTTTCCATGTATATATACCAATTAGGGTCGGGCCCAAACTATTATACCTTCTCCTACGCGAAAAAGGATAATTTTTTCACGTCTGCACAGCCGCGGCCGCGGTCAACCGCGGTACGACCGCGGTATATGGCAAGTATACTGCCTCAGCCCGCCTTAGGTCCGCGGTTGCGATTTCGACCGCATTTTTCACCCTGTTCCATTTGGAATTTGGAAAAACGTAAAACATGAAAGTTGTATCCCTTTGAGTTAGATTTCCAACCATCTATTGTGGAGCCCAAATGGAGTTCTGAGCACAACGTTATGTGCATTTTACTAGACAGTGCGCAATATGCCTACTCGATTCTTCGTTTTGTTGCTCTATCATCTGTTGATCCCCGAATACGATCCCGGCTTAATTCCTTGGGCTTTTACTCAGACTTCAAAGCTCCAAATCACTTGAATTTATTCCATAACATCTACATAACTCGGAATCACTCCTACAAGACATAAAACGCACCGTTAGTGCAAAACACTAGCGATTAAAGCGCAAATTCAACTAAAGTGCAGTAAATTAGAGTGTAATAATCGACTAAAATACGTAATTATAGCCTATCATCAGACATCTCATTGAAACTGCTCGTACCCTACTTATACAATCTCATGTTCTGCTGCATTTTTTGGGGGATGCACTTCTTACATCTTGCTATATTATTAATCGTATGTCATCTTCAGCTATCCAGAATCAAGTTCCATTCTCTATCTTGTTTCCCCACTTATCTTTGTTCTCTCTTCCACCCCATGTGTTTGGAAGTACGTGTTTTGTTCATAACCTTACTCCAGGAAAAGATAAGTTAGCTCCTCGTGTTCTTATGAAACCCAATCATACTTCGCAGGTCCAGGTAATCACTTAGATATTTCTGAGGTGCTACCAGTTCCGTCTTTTGGTGATTCAGTCACTATCTCCCATTCATCTTCCTCCATAGCTCCAGCTGCAGCTCCATCACCTACAGCTCCAGTTGCAACTCCACCACCTATAGCTCCAGTGCCACCACCCAGTCCAGTTCCACCAACTATAGCTCCAGTGACACCACCTAGTCCAGTTCAACTTTCTACAGCTCCACCACTCCTGACTTATCATTATCGACGGCGCCCAGTATCAGGCCCAACTAACTCACGTCCTGCACCTGACCCTGCTAATACTGCGGACTTGTCTCCTCTTAGTCAACCGACTGCACTACAAAAAGGCATACGGTCCACCCTTAATCCTAATCCCCATTATGCCGGTTTAAGTTACCATCGTCTGTCATCATCCCATTGTGCATTTGAATCATCTTTGTCCTCTGTTTCCATCCCTAAGTCCAAAGGTGAAGCACTGTCTCATTCAGGTTGGCGACAGGCTATGGTTGACGAGATGTCTTCTTTACATACGAGTGGTACTTGGGAGCTTGTTCATCTTCCTTCGGGTAAATTCATTGTTGGTTGTCGTTGAGTTATACAGTCAAAGTTGGTCCAAATGGCCAGGTTGATCGACTTAAGGCTTCTCTTGTTGCCAAAGGGTATACTCAGATATTTGGACTCGATTACAGTGATACTTTCTCTCCCGTTGCTAAAATAGCATCAGTACGCCTTTTTTCTATCTATGGCTATTGTTCGCCATTTGCCTCTCTATCAGTTGGACATTAAGAATGCTTTTCTTCATGGTGACCTTGAGAATGAGGTTTATATGAAACAACCACCTGGTTTTGTTGCTCAGGGGGAGTCTAGTGGCCTTGTATGTCGGTTGCGTCGGTCCCTCTATGGTCTAAAGCAGTCTCCTCGAGCTTGGTTTGGTAAGTTCAGCACGGTTACTTAGGAGTTTGGCATGACTCGTAGTGAAGCTGATCACTCTGTGTTTTATCGGCATTCTGCTTCAAATCTCTGTATTTATCAGGTCGTTTATGTTGACGATATTGTTATTACCGGCAATGATCATGATGGTATTAGCAAGTTGAAGCAACATCTCTTTCAGCACTTTCAGACTAAGGATTTGAGCAGATTAAAGTATTTTCTGGGTATTGAAGTCACTTAGTGTAGCTCAGGTATTGTGATCTCACAACGGAAGTATGCCTTAGATATTCTTGAGGAGACAGGAATGACAGGTCGTAGACCTATTGACACTCTGATGGATTCGAATTCTAAACTTCTGCCAGGACAGGGGGAGCCTCTTAGCGATCCTGCAAGATATAGGCGGTTGGTTATTAAATTAAATTACCTCACAGTGACTAGACCTGACATTTCATTTCCTGTGAGTGTTGTCAGTCAGTTTATGGATTTTCCCTGTGGTAGTCATTGGGATGCAGTTGTCCGCATTCTTCGGTATATAAAATCAGCTCCAGGCAAAGGTTTATTGTTTGATGATCGAGGCCATGAGCAGATTGTTGGATACTCAGATGTTGATTGGGCAGGATCACCTTCTGATAGACGTTCTATGCCTGGATATCCTTTGGCATTTGAAACCTTATATATGCAGGTTACTTTACCACAGGAGAAAAATTCAAACTATTCTTATTCTCAAAGATCTCCATCGCATGTATTGGAGAAAATAGTTTCGGATACCTTTTGCATGTGCTGCAAGGGTACTATTAACCACAAGGGTACTGTAGTACCACATCCCTTTCCTCAATATTATTTTGCATTATTAATACAGTGGTACGGTTTAGCCCATTTGAGTTTTGATAATGCGGAATTTCTTAATAGGAAGTTCTTTATTTTTAGTGAATTTACTTGACATGAGTTCAATTAGTCGAGCAGATATCGAATGTCCAAAAATATTACAAGATGGCCCTAATTTGACATACATGAAAAAGACAATTTATTCTTGGTTGAAAAAAAGAGTTCATCTACAAATAAATTAAGGGATTACAACTATCTGCTCCGAATATCCTTCACAAGCTCACAGATGGAGTTGTAAGATGAACCACCTTCACTTAGTGCATTTTCTGCACTCTTCTTTAACTTCTTAGCCATTCCCTTTATACGATTTCCTTCTTTTGTCTGCATCAAAATTCTCACCATCCCTTGAATCTCCTCTCTCTCCACCAATTTCTTCGTCGGCAAAACCGCCGGCCGAATCGCCACCCCTAGCTCCTCCGTCAACATGGCGGCGTTCATTTTTTGTTCAGCATGTAATGGCCATGCAATCATTGGAACCCCATTTGTTAGGCTCTCAATTGTTGAATTCCATCCACAATGTGTTAAAAATCCACCCACTGACGAATGACCCAAAATTTCGACTTGATTGGCCCACATAGGCACTACCAAACCCATATCTTTAGTCCTAGTTTTGAACCCTTCCGGCAAGTATTCCGACATGCCACGTGTCTCTTTTCCGGTAGAGTTCAGATAGGCACTATCTGCATCACCGTCGGACGGGGGACGTACAACCCAAACAAATTTCTGTCGGCTTAATTCTAAACCCCATGCAAGCTCGGTCATTTGCTTAGTTGAAAGGGTTCCACCACTTCCAAATGATACAAATAGAACTGACTCATTATTTTGCTTGTCTAACCATTGAATCACCTGTTGGAAAATATGAATGAATGGAAACAAGTTAAATAACGCTATACATATAGCTATAGAACTGAGTGAAGAAAAGACCAATTTAAGATGAAAGGATCTATCCTTTCTTAAGATGCAACTTCTAATTCAAAAAAAAAAAAAAAAAAAGTATTTTATTATTTATATTTAAAACAAATTCTAACATTACCTCGTCATTCGAAGTTTTTTCAACTTTTCTCCTCAAGGGTCCAATTGGGAAAACTGGAACTTTAAGAAGTGATCGCAACTTCTCATTATATCTAAGTGCATTGATAGTCTCAGGTTCTAAATCTTCCCAAGTATTAATCAAGATTCCATCAAAATCTGCATATTCCATTCCTAGCTTAACATACTCTTCATACTGCTGATCACTCCGATCAAGCAATGGATCCACCACGTCATCAGGTCGCAATGCTTTGCAACCTGAAATTTTCAAAGGTTCTTTAAGATCAACATATTCACCCTCAATTTCTTTGTCAAAAACTTGACAATATATAGCTAACGCTAATGTCCACGCAGTAGTTGGATGGTACGCGTACTTAGAAATGTTAAATTCTTCAGCAATTGGCAATATTTGTGTGCAAAAAATGTCGACAATTAAAGCATCTGGACGATGAGTCATGGAAGCTATAGTGGAATGAATTTTTGGCAAGGCTTCGCGGACTAATACTCGTAATTGAGTGAAAACTTTAGTACTGGAATTTATTAGGTGGGAAATATCGACTGAAGGAATGGGAATTATTTCTATAGTTTTTTTCTCATTGGTGAGAGTGGATTTCTTGAGAAATTCAGTTTCTGCTGAAGAAGAGCTGGTTGTGATAGCAAGAATTGTAATTTTGATGTTATGGTGAGTGGCTAATCGGTTGCCTAAGACTAGAACTGGGATTAAATGACCCATTCCAGGGCTTGAGACTATAGCAACATGAAGTTGTGAGCTATCCATAGAATTTTTTTGTTTGAAAAGAGAGAAAGAAATTTTTAAAACACAATTTGGAAGAGAAAATGTTGATGAATTTTACAAAATGAGAATCGTTTAGGTATGAGCTTTATAGGAACCACAAAGTTTGTCAAACCATAAATAATTTTACAAACTGCACTACTGTTTCAGAGGGACATAAATGACAAGTCTCTTTCTCAAGGGAAAAAGAAAAATCAAGAAACAAACAAACAAAATCAATTCACTAGAGCAAGTAGGGTCGGCAGATTTGAGAACCACTAATCCAATTGAACTTCTGGGAACTTCCTATTACTACAAAGGACTGATTAATGGGTTATGCTGGTATATTTTCATGGCGGATTAATTTGAACACAGTTCAAGCTAGTCCATCTTTATAGAGATAAACTAATTTAGGCTAAATATGTAATATAAATTGACCCACTAGAAAACTTGTCAATTTCTTTTTTAAAGAACTTTTGGTTGTTCGATATGACTTATGAGACTTAGTAATATAGGACATTAATTTAACCCTTCTTGACCCAAACCATCCTAGTTAAAGTAATTTTGGATGGACTATCGATCGGTCCATTTATAGATTCAATCACGGCCAAATTCAGGCTCACCCACCCAGTTGACGCCCCCATATCAAACCAACGATATGCAATTATATGTACTTGGTTAGAGCCCGGAAGGAAAAGTGATTAGAGGAAAAATGCTTTTGCACTTGGTAGATGTATTAAATTTAATATGTTTGATACTATAAAAAATAATAAAATAATCACGTTAGTTAAAAGGCAATTATATGTAATTCTATTTAAATTTAAATTATATACATTAATATCAAAAAAGCTGAATCTATCAATATAATTTAACATATTTTTGCGATTAGCTATCTTTTCTATTAAGTTGTCAATTAATATTTATTATAATATTTACCTATAATGTTTAAAAATGAATAATCTAATTGTGTACATTTTTGTTATGCCAGCACTACGATAGAATTTTTACGTACTCTTTAATGGACTAGCGCTATTGTATCTTCTCTATGTCCTCTTGAAATGGCTATGAAATCCTATACTCTTATGTAATACGTACTACTCATTAATTGTCTGGAGAGAAAGAGAGAATCTGAACCGTAGAGTCCGTTATTCCCTTGTATTAACGTGTACTAAAAGTACTCCATTTCGACGTCTCTGTCAAGTCCTAGCTAGTGGTGCTCTTTAACTCATGCAAAATTATTTTGACATTGTGTGGATATCAAATTTTGAAAGGAATATTCCTTGAACTTCTCGTACGTTCACTAGGATTTATTTATTGCTTGAAAGATACATTCAATATCTGCACGGCCAAGGCAAGGTCCCTGAACTCCACTGCACCCAACCGAAGAAATTTTTCAAAAGCACTTTAATGATAAATATGATTGGCTCAAAATCAACCTTTTATGTCATAACCCCAAAATTCCATCTTCCCCTCCCTCCTAGAGGTGTGCATTACTCAAACTAAATCGAATAATAAAATCAATTTGAGCTTCCTGATACTTTTCGACCTTTTTGGTTTGATTTTGAATATTTAAGGATTTAAAATTTCTGATATTTTATTTGGTTCCGCATTTTTAAAAATAAAACAAGAAAATTGAGTTATCTAACACTACAATGAGGATTGGGACCCTTTGTGTCTTAGCGGCAGCTGCAGGACCATGTAATAATGTAAGCAAAAGTATACTTTCTCTGGACAAATATTAGGATCCAACATGGCCTCATCTTTAACATGGTTTCATTCTTGCCACCGGGGTAAAAACCAAAGGCTATACTCAAATTGTTCTATTTTCTTTTTTGTCATGTTCATAACAATATACACGTAAGACCTCCCAATGCCACTCGCAAATGTATCGTTATAGCATCGGCTTCATGTGAACCAAGTACTTTTGATAAGAGGTATAAATTTATATGTAAAGATTTACTAAAATTGTAATAACTAAGTATAGACATTTTTTAAAATTAAAATTCTAAATCCGCCTCTTACTACTCGTCTCATCGTCATTGGTTTGAGGCTCGTCAGTTCACTTTCTATTTGCTTTTTCCTTAGCTCAACTATATATGTCAAGATGCTTGAAAATTTTATTCAAATTAAATTATCAATCAAAAGCAAACCTTGTTATTTCAAGCATGCGGGAGTTCTTTTCTTTTCTTTTAAAATAAGTAATCAGATGCTTTGTTTTGTAACAAACATTTGTAGATATTTAATCGTCTAATATATTAAACAACACATATGTCAAATTTGAGTAGTTTTATTGTGTGCCTCACACAACTGACATTAATTGTGTGAGACTCCTTTTTATCTCACAAATTTGTGGGCCCCAATCTTATACTTCTGAGTCTACAAAAATCTGGGTCCACAAAACTGTGAGACAAAAAAAATAGTTGTATGAGACACAAAATAAAATTTCAGGTCAAATCTAGGAAAGAAACCGGCCCCCAGTATGTAAGAATAGTTTTGTATATGTTGGGAAGTGTGTGGGATTGATGCCCACGTCGGTGGTATAAGGCCACCTCTTAAACCTTTTGTCTTTGTCATTTTCATGTATTTAATTTAGAACTCATATTGTGTATACACAAATACATAAAACGGAAATGGTCCAAAAATACTCTTAAATTTTTTTTTTGATTTTCCATTCGCTGTTCGGTACTCGTATTGGAGCTCGACTATATCCGGATTCGCGCCGCGTGGGGCCCCATTCGGGGGAAGCGCTCCCTACCAAGGATTTTTCCATATCCAGGGCTCGAACTCGAGATCTTTGGCTAAGGGAAGAGCAGTCCTATGCACTGCACCACATCCTTTGGTGGTTACTCTTAAACTTTACTGCCAGGAGCAAATATACCCTCCGTTAATTTCTTTATACTCTTGCCGTTATTCAACTAAAACACAATTGCCCTTTACACAAACGGCTGGCCACTAAAAATAATTAAACTTATTATTCAGTATCTTTTTTATCACGTAGATTTAGTTACCAGTACCCCTACTTAATTCACTTACCAATTATTAATCTATTCCCCTCGTTTGTATCTCCCCCACAAAATCAAAAGCCCCTTCATCATTTTTCCCAATTTCAGCTGCTAGGGTTCTCGAACTAAGGAGGCTTCCCACAAGATTTCTATAAGAGATTCAGTTATTCCATGAAGGTTAGTAGCTTTTATACTAATAGATTGCACTGTTGAAAATATTTTAATCTGAGTAGGGTTCGGGTTGTAAAAGTTATATGAAGCCGTATGGATTCACTTTTCGTTTGTATAGAGGAACACATGGTAAAGGTGCTTTTGCTAACATGATCTGGTAAAAATGATAGTTTAATGTATAAAGGTGTCTTTTTATGATTTTGTCGGGTTCTTGGTGGTCATATTTTGGTCTGCTAATTTCACTGTTTCTTGATTCGATTACTTTATTCTTTTTTCATAACTGAAGTGGTCCATGTGTGTTTGTTTGTTTCTTCTTTTGCATGTGACTATGTAACGAACCGGCTGGTCATTTTTAGAATTTACGCCCCGATCCTCTATTAACTGCTTTCCCGTATTTGTTTCTGCTATTGTGAGTTGCCGGGAGGAATTATTTGGAATTTCGGAGAGTTTTTAGGATACTTAGTCCCTAAAAGAGAGTTTAAGTTTTGAAAATTTGATCGTAGTCGGAACAGTGTGAAGACGGCCTCGGAATAGAATTTCGATGGTTCCGTTAGCCCCGTTGGGTGATTTCGGGCTTAGGAGCGTGTTCGGATTGTGTTTTGGAGGTCCGTAGTTAATTTAGGCTTGAAATGCAGAAAGTTGAATTTTTGAAGTTTTCGATTCGATAGTGAGATTTTGATCCAATGGTCGGAATGGAATTCCGGAAGTTGGAGTAGCTCCGTAAGGTGGAATGTGACGTGTGCGCAAAATTTCAGGTCATTCGGACGAGGTTTGATAGACTTTTTGATCGAATGCGTAATTTGTGAGTTTTTGAAGTTCGCGGGCTTGAATCCGATGTTAAATTGATGTTTTGATGTCGTCTTGAGTGTTCCGAAGGTTGGAACAAGTTTGAATGATGTCTTAGGATTGGTTGGCATGTTTGGTTGAGGTCCCAGGGTCCTCGGGTGAGTTTTGGGTGCTTGACGAAAGTTGAATTAGACTTAGGGAGATTTTTGCATTGCTGAACCTGTCATAACCGCACCTACGTGTGTGGGACCGCAGGTGTGGCATCGCAGAAGCGGCTATTGGACCGCAGAAGCGGAAATTTGGTCCATCTCCAGGAGCCGCAGGTGCGAGAAGGGTAACGCACCTGCGAGACTGCAGGTGCGGAAGGTCTGCTGCAGAAGCGAAAAATAGATTTAAGTGAAATATCGCAGATGCGACCATGTCCTCGCAGAAGCGGGACCGCAGATGCGGTCCCAGAGCCGCAGAAGCGGATTAGCTGGGTAGAAACATATAAATTCTTGCCTTCGCGAATTTGAGCTATTTTCACCTCTTTTCAAACGGGAAGAAGCCTTAGGGAGCATATTCAAGAGAGATTTTCAGAGGAGTTCATTGGGGTAAGGTCTTTGGTCCCTAAACTCATTATTGGAATGATTTTATCATTTTAAGCCTGAAAAATTAAGGAATATCAGTGGTAATTTGGGGGTTAGGGCTTGATTAATTAGAGACCTTTGAGTGATGATTTGAGGGACCATTTGAGGTCCGATTTTGGCACTTTTGGTATGCATGAGCTCGTGAGAGTGCGAGGTTTCTGAAAATATAAATTTTACCCGAATCCGAGACGTGGGCCCGAGGGAAATTTTGGTCATATACCTAATTTCGCGTTTTAGCTTCGAATTTATTTGTAGAATTAGTTACTTGAAGTGTTATTTACATTATGCAATTGAATTGAATAGATTTGGGCCATTTGGAGTCGAGTACTCGTGGCAAGAACGTGATTTTGGGTTGATTTTGAGCTGGTTCAAGGTAAGTGGCTTGCCTAACCTTGTGTGGGGGACCTTCCCCTTAGGATTTGGTATATTTGTTAATTGAAATGCCTTGTACGTGAGGTGACGAGTGCGTACTTGTGCTAATTGTTGGAAAATCTGATTTTTGCTAAGTAATTAAGATTGTGTTTTCTTCTCATGTTATTACTA